ATTTTTTTTTTTTTTAAAATAATGTATAAGTAAACTGACTAGGTCGACAATTTGGGCAAAATACATACTTTAAACAGTAATGAATCAAAATTGCGATTTCTTTTTACGTGTAATGAATGTGATGTCAGACGATTTTTTTTCCTGGATGATGTTATGATCTACAATTAATTTTATTATTTATGCATTTCAAACTTTATGCATATTTTATTTAAAAATCGTTTTATTCAAATGTCAATAAACATTTAACCCAGCAATTTAAAAGAAGAAAAAAAACAACACTTTAAAAATCTAAGAAGAGTACTCTTAAAAATGAAATACCTGAAAACTTTAAAAAGGCAGTGAATGTTTCAACAGCAATGCCCAAAGCGAAGGAAAGAAAAAGCAATTCAACGTTTGTGGTCCTACTTTAGTCGATGATTGAAAACGATCCTTAGGGATTTTTTCTTTTTAGATTGATGTGTAAAGTGATAGGAACCATCTAAATGTCCCCGGATGCATGTGTTCTGGTCACCCTCGCCCTCCCCAGAGTATTCTAGAATTTTTTTCTTCCCCCAGTGCTTTTTAAGAAATATTGTTCTTGCGAGAGAAAGGGCCAAATAAAAAGTTCCCTTCTGTGGCCACATGATTAATTACTGCCTCTTGCTACTGAAAAAAGTTTATTTTAGTTGGCAATCGAATATTTTTTTATTACTTTTTTTCTATTCAACTGTAATATATTCTTATCCTATTAGCTATTGTCTGCACACGTGTATATATACTTTTATATAAGTATATATACTTTTATATATACTTAATACTTGCCCATTTTACATTACTTTTAAGTAATAATTATTCAATTGATTAGATGGATAAATCTACCGCAATATTATATATAATCTTTTAACTCGTAAAATTGTTAAAATAAATTTCTGAATTTTGCTTACTTAAAAACAATTTTGTTTATTTAACAGTGATTATTTAACATTAATGAATGTGTAAAGTCATAATTAAGTCAAGGTTTTATTTATTTTTTCGCAATATTTTAACTTGTTATACTAGATTCTTGCTATCTCTTTACGATTTGTTTTCTTATTTCTTCAATTCATGCTTTTTTCAAAAAAAAAAAAAAAAAAAAANAAAAAAAAAAAAAAAAAAAAAAAAAAAAAAAAAGAAATGCAAAAGATTAGTTGGTTGAAAATAGTCATTGAATATATTGAAAAATGGAGTTTAGGAATATCAATGCTGACTTTCGTTATTGGTTAGTGTAATAATAAATGGAAGTTTTTTTTTTTTTTTTAAATTTGTTGTTTAGAATTCTTTGGGGCATGTCCTAGAATATTTCGCTATGATATATGTTTGAATAAAGGAGATATATATACTATATATTAAATTGAAATACATACGCATAAGATGAATGTAAATTTTTTTTATAACCTAACTATTATAGCATACATAAATAACCAAACTATTACAGCACACATAAATTCATACACAATAATAAATCAAAATGCAAATGTTTGACATTTGAATTTATATATATGTAATAGTTTCTATAAAATGCATTTTATTGAAAATACACCGCAAAGAGTATCGTTTAATTTATATTCTACGTAATAAAAGAATGAAAATATCTCCACAAATTAGTATTTTTATATCGTTTTAAGTGACAGAATTCATTTGGAATGTTTCGAAAGTTTCGTTTTCATCAAACTAATTATCGCTTTCAAAACAAATAAACCAGAAATTAACAATCAACATTATTCTTTCTTCCATTTTCTAGAATAAAACAGGATTGGATGTAAGGGGAGGTAAATAAACAAATGGGTTCTTCAAGCATCGTCAATCAATTATTGAAATGTGTGCTTTTAAATACCATTACAAAAAGAAAGTATCTATGTAGTCAGATTGAAAACGGAGTGTTTGTGTGATAATTAGTAATTATTTTGTGTCGAGAAAATATAATAAGAGTTAGGAATTGTGTTTCATTCGATTTTTATTTGGGTTGGTAAATGCTTGCATTTAAATTATTGATTGGTTTAAATTTTTGATGAATCTTGTTTCGTTTCTGTATGAATACGAAGTTACATATGTGATTTTTTAATTATTCTGAGAAGGATTTTAAAAAAAAACCCAGATTTTACTCGATTGCTGTGAAAAAAATCCCAGAAGAAACTAGCATAACTTGTAATGTATTAATTATTTTCTGATATTAAACAGATACTTTTTTTCCGTTAGAAAGTTTGATACTTTTATTACATCAATACCAACGATTATTTTTATTGCATGCACATAAAAGGCATAATGCTAAGTGCATAAAGTCAAACTATTGAAACTAAAATTAATTCGCATTTAGTAAAAAGTATCACATTTATAGGTAAAACCGTGTGTTTGGAGCAGTATCTCCTTTTTTTTGGACCTTGTGCCACTAAACCCTACATTCAATTCAATCATATTTATAGGTTCATAGTATTCAGATTAGATTTTACATTGTACCAAGTCTAGAGTATTACATTTGCTGTGCAAATTGCAAAATTTAATACTGTACCAAGAGTAAAGTATCTTGTTATAATTATTGCACTAAAAGTATCATGTATTGAATAGTGAAAATATTTAATATGAAGTTTACATTGCATGAAGTTTAAAATGTTATAATTGGGTACTTAAATATTAACACGTGGGCAATTTTCGCCAAAATCATTTTGGTATCTTCCAAATTTACGATTATAAAAAATTTAAACAAAATTCAAACATAACTTATTACTTATAGAAAAATGAAAACATTTAAATTTGAACCATTTCCAATTTTATTTTGAGACTTCGCTGAAATATTCAGCTATATGATGCGTAGTGCATAGTATTCAAATTAAAGTTAAGATTGCACCAAAAGCACAATATGTTTAGTACAAAAATTTACATTGTCTCGTTCAAATTTAGTTTCCATATTTGTTCGAACTATCAGAATTATACTTCCGTAAATTAACTGAACCAAAATATAAATATCAGGGGTCTGTTTAGAAGAAATTTGGGTCCGTTAACGGACCCTTCACAAAATAATTTATCTTTTAATCGGACCCTTCACAAATTTGTTTATCTTCATTATTGTTTTGTTAATCGAATAAACCCTTCCCAGGAAGGGGGGGGGTAAAGACAGATGTAAACGAACTAAATTTTGTCTTCGGCAGACGCTTCTTCCTTTATTCGTCCGAAATTAATATTCTGCGTTCAGCAGTATAGGCTAAATACCAAATATTTGTATGTTGCATAGCTAATTTAGTAGCTGCATTTGCTGTTTATTTTTCAAAATTTAAATTTTTTTTAATTATAATTTTACTGTGTTTAGCATAATCATGTATGTCTTTACAATTTAAGAACTCCTTGAAAATTTTTTTTTGCTATAACGGACCCTATTTTCACAAAAGCGGACCCCTGTTGAAAGAATGTGTATTTTATATTCACAAATTACGAGAAATTTTTTTCACAATTTTACAAAAACGGACCTTTCACAAAATGTCTGGACAGACCCCTGAATGTATAATTCCCATAAAACAGAAACAAAAATTAAAGAAAATTCAGAAATGAATTATTTTTGTGTTAGCACTTTGACAAAACAGTAGTAGGGAATGACTGTATTGTTGCATTTCCTTCTCATAATACCAAGTCCTATAAAAACATCCTAACCTCATTATCATTAACATAATTTCGCAAAACATATGCTGCGGAAACTAAAAACCCAACTCTATCATTGTATGTCATTATATAACACATCAACACTGTTCTCATCAATTTTATTCATTGTAGTACCAATATGGCCGCCGGCGCTCATACGGGCATTAGAACAAGGATAGTTTTTCTTTTTTTCAATTCTATGTGTTTATTCATTTCCTCATTTTTTTTCTTCTTTTTCCATTTATTCCATAACGAGATTATATTGCTATTGTTTCATTTTTTCTGGATTAAATTAAGCGAAATGACCCGCTGAATGCTCTGTATTTTTTTATGGATTAAATTGTTTTTCTCTCGCTGTTTATTGTCAGAAAATTTGCTTCAGAAAACCGTGGCCGAAGATAGGATTAAATTTAATTTCTTTTGCCGTTTAACTTTAGTTTATGTTTAGTTAGCTCGAGTTTTGATTTATTTTTTCCCAATGCATTTATTAAATTAGTATGATTTGGGAAACTTAAGTTGTTTGTTTTTAAAAAACGTTTATTGGCACAACAGGTTGGATCTTTTTTTAACTTATATTTTAATTCTAAATATTTATTTGAATCTTTAAAATTGAAACGCAAATTAAAAACTGTGGTTCAAAATAAGACAATTATTTGCCATTTAACTATTATTTGTTAAGTTAGTTTAGTTGCCATTTAACTGTAGAGTGCTTTCCTCTGTGCATTTATTAAATCAGAGTGTTTCCTCAACAGTAAGATTTTTACCTATACTTTAATTCTAAACATTCATCTGTATGTTTAAAATTAAAGTGTAAGTTAAAAACCGTGAGCAAAGGTTAAATTCATTTTCTTTTGCCATTTAACTTTGTTTAGTTGCCATTTAATACTAGATATTTTCATTCCTGCGCATTTATTAAATTAGAATGATTGGAGATATATTCTGATGATTTTTTTAAAAAATTATTTTCTCACCACGTAAGATAATAAAAATTTTAATTCTAAAAATTCATTTGACTTAAAGTGTAAGTTAAAAACCTTGGCCAAAATAAGGTAAAATGTACTCATTTTTGCCATTTAACTTAGTTTAGTTGCCATTCAACTATATATCCCCCCGCGCATTTATTATAAATATTATTATTATTATAAATAATAATCGATAATATTCTGATAAAATCTTTTTTTTTAACTAAAATTTTTTCGGCACAAGTAGGATATTTAAAATTTATGTTTAAATTCCTAAATATTCATTTGAATATTTCGAATTAGGATGTAGGTTTATTAAAATACAAGTGTAGGATAACTTTTATTGCAGTTCATAAAAAATTGTAGCTTATTTTGTTTTCTTTTCTTTTACAGAAAAGGGTCCATGTCTTCATAGAAGAAACCTATTAAACATATTCATCTATAGAGCAATGATTTTTGTGATATTATTACCCTTGTTTTTATTACCTCCTGCGAAAGGCAATGGCGGTAAGTACTTAAATGAATATCCTTACTCAGTGTAATTCTCTTTCTGTAAAAGTACACATTTAATTGCTGTTTAAACGAAAGAGCTCTAAAAGAGATAAAAATTGTCTTTCTTCGTATTGTTTCCTAAAATAGATTTTTTAATTCCTTAAAAATAATAAAGTTTAGATCACCAGAAGGAAAATATTTTCACGCCATAATATGAAACTACATTTAGATTTTGCATTTCTAAGTATTGTAAAAGCATCTCCTTTAAAATATCTTAAAATTATCACAAAGTAATGTTTGCGACCTCAATGTTGACTTATAACCCTTTACTAACGTATTTGTAAAAGTAGGTCTGTACTACCTTTAATATTTTACATGGTTTCTATCTTTTCAATTATTTTTCTAGTGCGAAAGGACAAAAGAAAAATTTATCAATATAATATTAGCAAATACATCTAATCTAAATTCACTTTAAATTAATTCTGTTATTCCTGTACAGTTTTAGAACAAAAATATTAGGATACATTCAAATTATCTTTGATTATTTCAAATTTTAACAGTATATTCTATTTAATCAATTCGATGATCATCTAACTCAAAATATTCTCATATAGGAGCTATCCGAAGAATTGCACAAATAATTTCTTACAAAGTTTTCGTAAAAATATCAAGTATCATAAAAAATATCACCTTTTCATAAATATACTTTTTTACAAATATTACTAGATTACATTCTTTTAATTTACTATCTAAAATTGATGTCCACCTGCCATTAGTTTATATCTTTAAAGGCAAAAAATTTAACCGTTAAAACACTTCAAAATTGATTATAGAGTTGTAGGGAATATCACAGACATCTTATTTATGTATTTTTTTGAAAACAATGTTACCAAACTAATCATAATTACTTTAGTGGTGTTTTTAAGTTGTAATTTTCATAATTCATATTTTAACTTGTGTTATCTTTATACTAGTGATTTTTAATGGTTTACTATTTGATACATTGATTTTTTTTCTTGTGATTTGCTAGTGATTTTCTAACATGTGATCTTTGGTGGTTTTCTTATCTTGCGGTCTTTGATTTTCTTGTTCGAATTGCATGTATTTTTTTCCACCGCATCAGGATTTTATGCAGCTAAAAGAATTCGAACCAAATGTTACGTTGCACGCGAATTTATTTATTCTTTGAGTTAAATTGTTGCTTGCTGCTCTAAGAACATTTATGCTAAGATTTTAATACAATTATTAAATTTTTTGAAGGAAAGAAAAAAACTCTTAATTTAGGCATCTGAATAAAACAAATATTCAAAATTTTAAAGCGATCACGAAATAATTGCGATCTCTACAATCACAAAACACAAATTGACTGCTTTCTTTTCTAGCCATTACTGTTTTGATGGTAGGAAATAAAATCGATTTAAGGTCAGGACATCACTTAAATTCGCTTCACTTCCAATCTAATTTAAAGGTGGCCAGGTCAGAAACGCGAATAAAAAAAAAATCGTTTGCACTCCTGCGTTAAAATTCTGCAGACGACCGCCATCTTGATGCTTTCGAACAAGAAGGTTCCCTGGCTTCTTTTATAACCCTATATAACTGCAACCTGACAATTCGACCTCTATAGAAGATCAAGCGAGGCACGTCCCTGTGAGAGGCCTAACTACTTTTGCGCATATATTCTTTTTATGTAATTTGATCGAAAACTTACGACCAACTTTTAAGGACGGCGTAATAAACGGTAATTGGCCGTGATTTTGGGGCGGCCATTTCTGTTACAAGGAGTCGCAATCAGACTTTTATTTTACTTTTTTATTTAGCTTTTCCGGTTTTATTTATAGACAGGTACGTAATTGAATACCAAGGGTGATTGCAGAGTGCAATTTTAAGGCCCACTCGATGATGTGATGAGACTAAGCAATGAGACAAGATGGAATTCGAAATTCTGATATGGGGGATCATGGGGCAGGTGTGTGTAAGTTTTCAACAGCCCTCATCATTCTTCGATATATTAAACAACTAAAAACGCTTTCTTCAGTGTATAATTTTATTTTTTTACACAATTTAATTATTTTTCATATGCGTCTGGGATCGGAATTTGTTTTGTTAGAAAAGGGTGTTTTTTAAACTAGAAGCGTGGAGATTGTCTCGAATAACTTGAACCCAGACAGAGTACAAACTATATGATATTTTTAATAACTGGAAGTCTTAACGAACGCTTGAGTTTAATTTTATTAACTTTAGGTTTTTCCGGGAACTTTCGGTAACTCACTTATAGGTTTGAGGAGTCCTAAGCCTACAACTTAAATATAAGTCAAAAAAATATTTATTCTTACAGAAAATTTAAAAAAAATTTCTCAGATTCGTAAATCTAATCATAAAGCCTTTGGAATTAATAAAAGCGTTATGCAATATTTTGTGTTGAACTCCTAATCATATAAGTATTCATAAGAAATTTTTCTTTTTATTTTAAAATATAAATTATGGTACTAATTTATTTCAATTTATCTTTCCTTTATCTAATATTTCAACACAAAAGTCTTAACCTAGTGGTTAGAAAGTTTTAAAAGTGTAATTAATTAGTTTATATATATTTTTAGAAGTAGTTTTGTAAAATTGATAAAATTCGAATTTTCTTCATAGTATTTCATAATGAACGTAATTAATATATATACATGTATATATTAAAAAATCAAATCAATGTTTAAAGCGTAAAGAAATACAAAACAAATCAGTTATGATTATTTCAAGTCTGCCAGAATAGCCATTGAAAGAAGGTATGAAAAACATATAATTAAAATTTGATTACCTTATAAAACTTGTCAACTCTTTTTCTTGCAAACAAACAAGTTTTGGTGCTTTTAGTGCCACCTCCCTTCGCAGTATTTAGTTACGTTTTAATAACGTTTTCGTTTTGTCCTCGCTTAAATATTGATTTACGACTTCTAATATGAATAGTTTTAATTTTAAAAAGAATTCAAAAAATTTAAATGAAGGTGGTTATAACGTAACATCTGAGCTAAGTCGCAAATTCACCCTAGCGGTGCTCTCTTGTCAAACAATATGCGCTTCCTGTTTAATTTCGAAAGGCCATTGGCTGGAGAGCTTGCTATTATGTTATTTAAAAATAAATTCTATAGACGCACTAAACGTTTATGAAATTTTTATCTTTCATATATTCGTAGAAAATAATAATCAAGAGTTTTGATGAAAATCTTTTTTTCTTCTAGATTTTTAAAACGTACGATTCGAAAAATTCTTCATTAAGCGGTAAAAAGTGTCAGTGGAAGGAATTTTTATTTAATCTTGCAATAATTATGTTCCTCGTGCTTTCCTCTATCATTCCAAAACAATGACTTTCTTCATGATTTTTTGAGAATCAAAAATAACAAATTCCTTATTTGTGAAGATGATAGACTGTCTTCATTGAAATTAATGACCAGCATGCATACTTCTAAATTACAAACGGCTTTCGTTAAAAAATGTAAATTTGTGAGAACAGTAAAAAAATGCATGTTCATTAATATTTAGTTAATTTATAATCGCAAATTATTTAATGTAAAAATCTGTAACGGTGAAGCATTAGTTAAAAATGTTGTAGTTTTAATGAGACTGAAAAATATCACTTTTTTAATTTTCGGATAATTCATTTTGTTATAAAGATTTAATTCATTCCATAAAAATGATTTAATTCATTATAAATCATTTATAGTGAAGCTTAATTCATTATAATTAATCTTATTGTAAGAATTATTTTTAACGAATATACAATTTTCGTGCAAATGGTTGGTTATTCTATTTATTCTTTGAATATTTAAACTAGTTCTGAGCAGAAAAAAAATCTGTATAATGGATTTCAAGCTCATTTGTTTAGAATTGAGGAATTACACGAAATTATTAAGATAGTTACAATTTCAAGTTTTTTATTTTTATTTTTTATTACAGGCTTCTATGACCCTACAACAAACTTTTTTCTAGCAATTTAAATTAACACATTCTGGTCGAAGGGAAGAAAAAGAGAAAAATAATTTAAAAAATAATTTTTAAAATTTAAAATTAGTTCTTCCTCTGAAAAAAATTTTTTTTTACAAAATTTTCTTATTTTTTTTACAATATATAAATGTTTTTTACTACACAACTGCGTTGATTTCCCAATTTTAATTTTTGGATTTGTTAAAAAAGTATTTAATATTGAGCAAAAGGAAAAGAAAATTATAATCAATAGAATTACTAATTGTCATAAAAATCTTACTTTTTAAGAAGTTCCAAATGAAAAATTAAATAGAATTATAAATTATGGGAAAAGAAACTTAAAAATTCATATTACAAAAATTTAAGTCGTAAGAAATTATAAAAAGGAACGAAAATATGTGCTAATCAGTTAAAAAAGCTATAATACCATATTCTCTTTGGTAGGCATTAAAAGAACTGTATTAAAATTAATAATATATGTTACAAACAATAAAAAAATTCTGATAAAATTATAGTTTATATGGCATGCAATTAAAAACTTATTTATAGTAAGCAATAAAAAAAACTATGATAAAATTATAATTACATTATAACAGGCATTTTTTGTAATAAAAACAATTTCATAAAATTAATTATAATAACTGAAAATAAATCATAATCCGCTATGAGTGGACTTAGTAGTAGTATTTATACTAAAAAATTAGAAACAAATTACGATTTAATGGTAAATCCGAATAGTTACCAATAGAATATATTTTAAAACTACAACTATTTATGCATTTTATTTAAACGTTTATTCTAATTTTGTTTCTAACGAAGACATACGGAGGGAAAAAGTCACAATCAATATTCTTTTCGTATGGAGCTTTGACTGTGCTTTGTAACTATTCAATAGCATCCTTAGAAACCATTTTTTAAAAAAAGAAAACATTTTGTATTCCCGACTTATCTTTAAAACGAAAATGCATAAACTTTTCGACATTTATTGCATATTCGGCGCATGAAAGGAAGAAACTCTTTTCATTTTTCCATTCGAAATTTCGTTC